TTACTAAATATATATATCTATGTATGTATCCACGTGTAGCCGGCCCTACATTCTGCATACTTTTCCTTGACCGATCGCTTCTTCTGTTCTTCGTGCACTAGTACTCGTATATTTGTATCTTTTTAAGGTTTATTGAGAGGAAAATCTGCTCCACTATTCTCTAAGTCTTCAAGACAAGCTTCATCGCTTTGGGTTCAGAACATTGCACACGTGCTGGTAGACCGAATTGGGACTGGATATACACTAGAGACTTTCGGCCACATAAGCACCAGGTTTAGCAAAGTACCTTTGCACGCATAGGGACATCAAGCGGAACGTACATAGCATTTACGTGGCGTTCCTTCCCCACTTTCAGAGTGCATCGACTTTCTCTTTAGGAAGGTTTGAAAATGGCGACTATACCTACTTTCGTCTTTTAACCTGTGCTTTGGGTAGTGCAAACAATGAGTCGTGTTCCTTTACACAGTTACACCAGTCACACATGTAACGTACTCACACTTTATGTAGTTTCTGTATAATTTTATTGCTATAGCGCCCTAGGAAAGAGTGATTCGAGCCCTCGCTATCGTCTCCGCGCATGGCACTTCCAACCTTTCGATAGACTAAAATACTATAACTGGCTAAAAACATATGCAACAAGGTAACGCCTTGTGTGAACGTATTTATAATACCATAGCCTTCTGAATGTATTTTTGGTTTAAAAATAAATATATAAATACAAAAAGGATATTTTTTGAAGACTTCACAAGTTTGTGTTCCAATTTATTTTTACTTTTTATAATTTTGAAATTTGAATAATTGAATTTGTCTTTTTTTAGGGGGAGGAAATAGCGGGGAGGTAAATATGGAGGCTATGTATTTTAAAATGGGGACAGGGCCTTTATATATTTAAGCCCGCCAAAAATCTTGAAGAAATATGGTGCTGGACAACTAAGGAGATTTTATATAAATACATATGTGTGTACATAAATATGAAAGCCAGTCTTATGGTTTTAAAATAAATAGACATGTACTGCTGATGTTTGTTGTCTTGGTTGTTTTTCAAAAATATGAAAAAAGAAAAAACAAAAACAAAAAACAAAACATAAACATGATATTTATAATGTTTTATAGAAATTAATAGAAGGCTAGGGATAGCCTCTCTGGGGACGAGGTGGACCAAAAATATTTTAATCTTATAAAAAAATAGACTTTAAAAAATATAAATAGTCATTCATGACCCTCTGGAAAAGTCGCTGGATGAAAGAGGGCCAATATATTTGTTTAAAAAAAAACAACAGTGTATAATTTATATAAAATATAGAACAAAACAAATATATATTTGTTTTTATAAAAAAACCCCCCAATTTGCTTAGATACCATATGGGTCAGGACTCAGGCCGGGTCATCAGACGTCACTGTCACATCAGCCATCAGGTGACTAGAAAAAGAAGAGCAAAAGAAAACCGGAAAAAAAAACACACTTGCTCAAACTCGAGTCACTCTCCGTCTCTCGAGTCCACGCGTTTTGGCAGAAATTAACAGATACTTGTGTCCATAATAGGCTTGTCATACACAGATATCACAAGAATACGTCGATAGTACACTCATCGCAGCTAAGTGTCGAAGGGCTTTCCATCGCCCCAGCGTAGGGTCCTGGTCTTTTCATAACATTCACAATGTCTTCTCCTACTGATGCATCAAACCCTGCCGCTGCCGACACCACTATGAGCAGGTGCGTAGCATAAAACTCCACGACTAGGGTAGTTGATGCAGGTGTCACGCCGCGTATAACCTGTTTTGAGAGTAATTGTTTGTAATTTCACACGCAAGTGGTATTTACTTTGCAGATCTAATTCATGTTTAGGATAGTATATAATGAGATTTGAATGATATGATCAACCCTGACAAGGAGTGTTTAAGTGTTCTGCGTTCAACTGGTCGCAACTGTGGTGCTTTCGAGAGGGTCATATATTACCAAAGCTCCAGGGTTGAATTTGGATGTGAGCAAGAAATTCGGCCCCTTGTAAACCAGTCAAATAACGAGTCTCCTACCGTCAGTGTGCCACGCATGTAGGTCTTAGTTTTATGCCTGAAAAGGTGATGATGATGTGTACAGGGCAATTTAGTCAACAGCAGTTGATAACTATCCAATACGAGATCGCGGAACATACAACAGCGTTCTTGAAGAACATCAATTTTAAGAGCCACACCCTTATGATACTGCCACTACACGTCAATGAATAAACTAATCTAGAATCGCGTTCATTATTCACATAATTTGCAATAGAAGTGATTCAGTCTTTACTATTCCAAGTCTAACACCTCGTCGTCCCCATCAACGGACTCCACAGTGAAGAAGGCGAGATCGTGGAGAAGATTGTAGCGCAGGGTACAAAGGTTGCTGAGATCAAGAAAGCTAACCCAGAATCCGAGGACATCGCGGATGAGGTATGATGGTTATTAGTATCCGACGATGTTTTTGCTATGTGTCGTATATTTTTTTCAGCAGGGGCGAAGTGTTCATACACATTGGTTGGGCCTATAGCTCACAGATACCTTTAAATGCTCACAAGTACGACTGTGTTGAATAAAAAATTCGAGATTATGCTATCCCTCCTGGTGATTATCTTGTTTCTAACTCAGAAGTCGTTGTTCTTCAGGTGGCAAAGTTGCTCTCGCTTAAAAATGAGTATGAGAAGGTGACTGGCAAGCCATACGCAGGTGGCGGTAGAGCCCGTAAACCAAAGGCTGCAAAGGCTACCAAGGCCGAGAAGCCGAAACCCGCAGCTGACAGTATGTTATGTGTTATGTGTTGCAGTGATAAATTTGGCAGTCAATGTTCATTTCCTCCACTGTATGTATTGTAAAGTGGGTCGGATTTTTGGTGGTGTATGTATGCCTTGTCGAGGATTGCAGTATGCAGAGTTTGTTGAACCATGGCCCTACAAGAGAAATACTAAATCCGATTTCTCGCTTTTTATCCAATGTTCAATACCAATTGCAGAAAAGGGTGCTACAAAGCTCGCACTAGCATACAAAAAATCCGAGAATTTCCAAGAATGGTATTCGGAGGTCATCAAGAAGGCCGAACTTATAGAGCATCACGATGTTTCTGGATGTTACGTGCTGCGCCCTAACAGTTTCCACGTATGGGAATGCATAACAGGTAATTTTTTCTTTCTTACACTCGCACACACATGCACACACATGCACACACATGCACACATACACGCACACACGCACACACACACGCACGCACGCACACACACACACATGCACACACATGCACACATACACGCACACACGCACACACACACGCACGCACGCACACACACACACACACACATATATATATATATTTATATATATATAGACATACATACAAGTATACACACATATATA